CCCCATCTTCTAACAAAGATCTGATAAAGTGATACCGAAGTCCTATATGCTTGGTCCTTAAATGAAATGTTGAATTCTTTGCCAGATGTATCGTATTTTGACTATCACTGTGCAAAACATTCTTCACCTGTTCGAATCCCAACTCTGTTAACAAACCTTGTAACCAAATCAACTCCTTCCTGGCCTCTGTCATCGCCACATACTCTGCCTCTATAGTAGATAATACTACAATCCTCTGTATTTGCGAAACCCAACTAACTGCAGTTGTACCCACCATGAATACATACCCGGTAGTACTTCTTCTGTGGTCCATCTCGCCAGCAAAGTCTGAATCTACATAGCTATGTAGCTTCACTTCACCCCTTTTGAAACATAGGCATCTGTCTATGGTACCCATAGATATCTCAATATCCACTTTATTGCTTCCCAGTGTAGCTTGCCTGGATCCTTCATGAACCTGCTTACTACTACCACTGCATATGTAATGTCTGGTCTTGTGCACACCATAGCATACATCAAACTTCCAATGGCTGAGGCAAATGGAATTTTAGCCATGAAGTTTTTCTCATCCTCTGTCTTCGGACACTGATCTTGAGGTAAGCGAAAGTGATAAGCTAAGGTTGTACTCACCACCTTAGCACTATTCATGTTGAACCTCTTCAGAACCCATTCAACTTACTCAGTCTGAGACAACTGCAAAATACCTTTATGTTTGTCTCTGCTAACCCTCATCCCAAAAATTTGCTTCGCTGCACCAAGATCCTTCATCTCGAATTCACTAGACAACTGTTTCTTCAATTTGCTAATTTCTTCAAAATCAGAACCTGCCACTAACATGTCATCAACATAAAGTAGAAGGATAATGAAACTTGACTTGAACCTCTTAAAGTAGCAGCAATGGTCAGCATTGCACTTGTTATAGCCATGTCGCTTCATAAAACCATCAAACTTCTTGTATCACTGCCTCGGGGCTTGCTTCAAACTATATAAGCTTTTCTTCAACTTACATACTAGTTTTTCTTTCCTTTGACTGAGAAACCCTCCGGTTGTTGCATGTAAATCTCCTCCTCAAGGTCACCATGGAGGAAAGTAGTTTTGACATCTAACTGCTCAAGGTGCAACCCCTCTGCTGCAACAATGCTAAGAACTGAGCGAATGGTACTCAGTTTCACAGTCGGGGAAAACATGTCTATGTAGTCAATGCCTTACTTTTGTTGAAAGCCTTTGACCACCATTCTCACTTTGTATCTCTTGGAACCATTATGTTCCTCTTTTACCCTGTACACCCATTTGTTGTGAAGAGCTTTCTTCCCCATGGGCAACTTGGCTAGTTCCCATGTTTTGTTGGACATAAGGGACTTCATCTCATCTTCTGTTGCAAGCTCCCACTTGCTAGTATCTTCAACCTAACATGCTTCATCATAGCATTCAGGCTTACCATCATCTGTGAGCAACATATAATCCAAATATTTCCTATTCGGTACATGAGGTCACGTAGACCTTTTAGGTGCACGCATAGGAGTTGGAATCTGCGGTGAACTATGTTCTATAAGTTCTGGCCAAGAACCCTCATCTGTCTATTCCGTGTCAACGCTCTCTGGATCATCTTCCAACTCAATAAACTCAGGCTTACTCTGTACAGGACTAGTTAACTGTGCTGCATCTCTATCCTTGTACATCACCTTCTCGTTGAAAATCACATCTCTAATTCTGATAATTTTCTTGTTCTGATTATCCCAGAGTCGATAACCAAACTTATCTCTGCCATACCCAATAAAGATGCATTTTAGTGACTTAGGGTCGAGGTTTCCCCTAGCATGGTCACTAATATACGCATATGCAATACAACCAAAAACTTTCAACCATGAAAGATTTACCTCTTTGCCACTCCATACCTCTTCTGGTATTCGATACTCCAAAGGCACTGATGGTCCACGATTTATTAGGTAGGATGCTATATTGACCATTTCTGCCTAAAACTGTTTGGGTAGACCTGAATGTATGCGTATGCTTTTGGCTCTTTTTGTCAATGTTCGGTTCATCCGTTCTACCACCCCATTCTGCTGTGGGGTCCTTGCATAGTCCTCTCTAATCTGATCCCATTATCAAAACAGAACTTCTTGAACCCAGTGTCTTTATACTTACCACCATTGTCTGATCTCAACCTTTTGATCTTCAAACCTGTCTCATTCTCCACCATGGCCTTCGACTTCTTGAACACATCAAATACCTCAGATTTGTGCTTCAAAAAATAAACCCATACCTTCCTCGTGTGATCATCAATGAAAGTCACGAAGTAGAATTTTCCGCCAATGGATGAAACAGTGGTTGGCCCACAAACGTCTATGTGAACTAGCTCAAGTTTCTCCTTTCTGAGATCTCTGCCACTCTTCTTGAAACTGACCCTCTTCTGCTTGCCCATCATGTAACTATCATAGAAGTCAATATCAATTGCCCGTATGTCTGGTAGTTTTCCCTTTAAGTGCATAATTTTGAGCTCCCTTTCACTCATGTGACCTAGTCTCTGGTGCCAAAGGTTGTGATCTTCTCTATTTTCTGGAACTGCTATAGACCCACAAACACTGGTAGTTATGTAGAGAGTGCCAGATTTCTTACCACGTGCAATGGTTATAGTGCCTCTGGAAACTTTCCACGAGTCTCCATTAAAGGTTGTAACAAAACCTTCACCTGACAATTGTTTTACCGAAATCAGATTCTTCCTCAAGTCAGGGATGTGTCTCACATCCTTTAACTTCCAAGCTGATCCATTCAACTTGATTTGCACTTCACCCTTGCCAATGACACTGCAAGGCTGGTCATCACCAAGATACACCTTACCAAGGTTACTCGGTTCATAGCTATTAAATAGCTCTTTGTTTGAGGTGCCATGAAACAATGCGCCAGAATTTAAAACCCATGACTCCGCCTTGCTCTCCAAAAAGCATATCAATGCATCATTTAATTCTTTTAAGACAAAGTTTGCTTCAATTTTTCTTTCGATTCCCTTCGTTGGAAGTCTACAATCAACACGGTAATGTCCCTTCTTTCTACAATTCCAACACTCAACGTCACTGAGATCTATGGAATTCCTGAAATTTTGAGACTGTGTCCTTCCATTCCTTAACTTGGATCTGCCTCTGTTTACATTACTGTTGCCCTTCTTTTTGTTTGAACCCTTGCCTCTGCTTTCAACATTCAACGCCGAACCACTGGTGGAAACCCCTGTTGTTTGCTTTCTAATTTTTTCAGTCAGAATCATGCTCACAACTTCATCAAACTTCAACTTGGGCTTCCCTGCAGAGCTACTGATCGCTGTAACTATGCCACTCCAACTCTTCGGTAACTGCCTTAGAATTAGCAGTGCTCGGACCTCGTCTTTGAAGTCGATATCAATACTCCAATAGCCCAATTATCTCGTTGAACGCATTTAGATGTTCGTTGAACTTACCACCTTCGACCATCTTCATGTTGAACAACTTCTTAATCAAGTGCACCTTGTTCGCTGCAGAAGGCTATTCATACATACTAGAAAGGGCTGCCATGAGGGACTTTGTCATCTTCTCGTTCTTAATATTGAAGGCAACTGACTTTGACAATGTCAATCTAACGATGCCAAGGGCCTTCCTTTCAAGTAATTCCCATTCTGCATCCTTTGTATCCTCTGGTTTCTCTCCCAAAGGTTGATACAGATTTTTCTGAAACAAGAGGTCTTCAATTTGAATCTTCCAGAAACTGAAGTTTGTGCCATCGAACTTCTCGATCATGGATGTGGATGTCTTATCTTCTGATGCCATTACTCCCACTCGAACGGACAGATCTGATCGAAAGACTTTTGGAATTTCGTCAAACACCTTCTGTGCCCTAGGTTCTCAACCAAAGGCTTTAATACCAGTTGTTAGAGTTACATTACACAATCAACCGGATTTGATATCAGTTGTTGTAGCGAAAACGTAAAATAAACAACACTGTTCAAGGAATAAACAAGCAATCATGAAGAATAAAAAAAATCACACACAAGAACACAAGATATACATGGTTCACCCAAATCTTAGGGCTACATCCATGGAGCACACCAAACAAAATCACTATGAAAAAGATGAAGAATTACAAGGAGAATTCTCTCTCAATCTATCAATTGCTCTATCTTGTATTGGCACAAATTTATCTCTAATTTTCACTCCTATTTATAGAGTCCCAAACTTGTCCTACAAGAACTTGCCTTTTGTAGAATTCAAAACCAATAAGGAAATTAAATCAGATCAGGAAACTGAATGTTCCTTAAACCAATAAGGAAGTCAAATCAAATTAGGAAACTGAATTTTCCCTAACAGATTAGGAAATTGAATTTTCCTAAAATTCAGTACTCTTGAAGTTTGCATATAATTAAATCTTTCTAAAAATCTTCCACCTAATCAGACTCCACAAAACCACAACATGGACAATTGGTATTGTCCACAGCCAACGAACACTTATTGGTTAGGGGCATTTTCTGCTCTCTGGAAATGATGTCGTGTAAAGCAGTATAATGGTACGGTAATAAACAACTTCAAGAAATAGGAGAGTATTTTAGGGTTCATGAGGAAAGAGGGTCAAATTATTGCTCTCTGGAGACGGCGTCGTGTTGAGGTAGTACAAATATATTAAACAGCTTGAGGGTAGGAGAGTAATTTAGGGTTCATCAGGAAAGAGGGTTTTAGGAAAGGAGATCCGAATTTACGACAAAATCTCCTCAGAAGAACAAGACCATAATAGGTGAGTCATTTCCAACACTATCCATGTTTAATTTCTTATTCAAATCTTTCCCTTATTTGAGGTGTGTTGTATCAACTTCACCTACCCAGAAACTGCATTTTCTTCAACACTGCCCTTTATCTTCATCATCATCTTCATCTTCTCTCAAATCCATACCCGGCACTTCAAATCAACACTCATTCATAGTCGATTACCTAATAAAATCATGTGGGTTTCCACCAAAAAAGGCTCTCTCGTCCTCCAAGTGCATGAACTTTGAAACTCTAGACAAACCCGACTCTATTCTCACACTCTTCAGAAACCATGGATTTACCGAAACCCAGATCTCAGTGCTCATCAGAAAACTCCCTCTGGTACTCGTGCTGGATCTCGATAAAACCCTTTTGCCCAAAATCGAAATTTTCCAATCTAAAGGTGTTTCAACCGAAGACATTATCAAAATACTCTCTGCAGCACCAGGTGTTTTCAGAAGAAGTTTGGAAAACCAAATCATCCCAACGTACAATTTTTTCAAGGCATTGCTGAAGACCGAAGAAAAAACTATTGTCGTTATTAAACGCTTTGCTGGGATTTTGTTGTATGATGATCTTCACATATATATAGAACCCAATATTGAAGCTCTGAGAGAAATAGGTGTGCCCAAATCGAATATTGTGGTTCTCTTTACAAAAAAACCTCAAGCTTTCACGGCTATTGCTGATAGGTTTAAAAAGATTGTGAAGGAAGTAAAGAAAATGGGTTTTAACCCTACAACAATGATGTTTGGTGCAGCAATTCATGCACTGATGGCAATGAGTAAATCAACTTGGGAAAAGAAGGTAGAGGTTTATAAGAAGTGGAGTTTATCTGAGGATGAGATTTTGGTGGCTTTTGGGAAGAATCCAAGGTTTATGATGGTATCAGAGGATAATATTATGGGGATAATGAATTTTTTTGTCAATAAAATGGGTTGGGAGTCTTCGATTGTTGTGAGGAGGCCAGTGCTTGCTTCCCTGAGCTTGGAGAAGAGGATCATTCCAAGGTGTTTGGTTTGTGAAATTTTGTTGTTGAAAGGTCTGATTAAAAAGGATTTTGGCTTGGATTGGTTCTTGGAGTCTCCTGAAAGTTATTTCCTAAAGAATTTTGTGAAAAAATATGAGGAAGAAGCTCCTGAGCCTTTGAAGTTATATCAGGAGAAGTTGAATCTTTCAAAATAACATGGATATGGGAAAACGAGGAACAGAGTGGACTTTGTAAGGTCGTACATCTCTGGGTAGTGAATATGCTTTTGTTTGAAATACAACATGGCAATCAATTCACATTCATTAATCTCTGAGCAAATTTGAGTTCTTTGCTTTACTTCCGGCAATTGAAACTTGAAGCTTAACAACATGGTGAATTGAATTCTGATCTAGGAAACTTTTGTAGTAGAGGCTTGGTTTGATTATACCATTGTCTGTTTATTTGGGAGATCAGTGTCGGTGATCTTTGTTTTGTTTGACATATAGTTTTTGGAACTAGTTTAATTTGGTAAATTAATGATTTTTTATCCAGCAACTGTTATCTTCCTCTTCGGTTGGAGGATAAATAATTGAGATTATAGTAAAACTATTCTGTTATGCAATGGTGACATTGTTGGTTCAATTCTTGATTCTGTCCATATACCATTTCCCTCTATTTCTGTATTGAGAACTTTCATCAAGTTTGGACATGGTGTTCAGTTTGTCCAGGATAATTTCAGTTATACACCCTTTTCGTTTCTTGTTAATTTTTCACTTTGGTTGGTGTTGACAGCACAAACACATTACTCTACTGTGCTTACCCTACTTGCTCTCATTTCCACCCTTTTCTCTCACACCACAACCTTTTCAAATTAGGTCTTTATGAACATTTTGTGACTCTAATTTGATTTTTTTGGCAACTATTTATTCGATTTTGTTACAAAATGCTTAGAGATTTTGTGCAGCACCAATATTGCTTTCATTAATCATGCACGCATTTAGCTGAATGATTTATTACTTTTTGTGCCACTCTGACTCGATGAGATCTTCTTAATCTTTTAATTTGAAGCATAGATAAACTCAATAACAGTCATGTTACTAGAAGAATGGTAATTTAATTCAGTTCTGCTTAAATATAACAATTTTTGTTCCCAATTCCCTTAGGAACTTCTGTGGGTTTTCATAATAATCTGCACATAGCTATTCTTCTTGTTCATGTTAACGGACCTCTAGACATGCATGATTATACAGTTTATTTCAGTGTAGTTTTAGATGTTGCCATTTTAGGCGTGAGGCCACCACAACCTAATAATCACACTTCAAAACCCATTATGATTGCACCTTTTACAATCACTAAATTTCTGGTTTGTACTTGATGTATATTTCTATTCGTTGATAACAAGACTGATGTTTTTGTTATTTCTTTTACAGGTCCCTTAGATAGCACTTTATGGGGTTGAGTAACTATTGATAATGAAATAGTTTTGAAATGTTTCTGGAAAAAAACAAGAACATGAATTCAACAATTTGGCCCTACAAGCCCTTATTGCTTCATCAATAGTTGTTTCATAAGGTGCATTCTTAGAAATGCTTTAAACTTGGTTTGAATATCACTTGGTTTGTTCTTATATTCTAATGCAGCTTTGCATAACTCTCTAGTGGGTCTTGGGTTGGCTTCTGCTAATTAATAGGCTGGACTTTATGGATAAGATGATGGCTGAGTAGCTAAATGGCAAATTATTATTCCCTCAATTTTTTTCTTTCAGCGATTAGATAAGATTGATTGGCAGAGTCCTTTGTACTTCATGATGTTCTGAATCCGAGTCATTAAATCTAATGTTAGGCATCAAATTTTTTTTTTTTTTGGGGGGGGGGGGGGGGGGAGGGGGGGGGGGGGGGGTTGTGTAAGTCTTCTGGAGGTTGCTACTTTGCCTTTCAAGATATATACTTATGCTTTCCTATTTTTTGTTCATTGAAGTTATTCCTTGCTAAATATTAGGAGACAAATCTTTTTGAAGCCAAGGATACACTGGTTTAAAATTAAAATTGCTTTGGTGGTTGTATTCTGGTCTCTCACCATTATCTCTCTCTCTTGCCATTCTCATAGGGTAATGTTTTTGCTGTGAATTGCAAACTTCTTGCTTTCTATCTTATGTCAAAACAATTAGTGGGAAATTTTCAAGTAGTTTTTCTTGCAGTGGCTAGTTATGGAGGCATGGTGTTGCACTGTTGCAAGTTCATGTAGTGGCTAGACGGAGTTCTCCTGTGGTAGTTATAACCGCCAAGAGGTCACAGTCTTCCATCCGGCTTGGATGAAGTTCCGGCTGGACCTGCAGATTCTTTTGATCAGAATGACTTGACGTGAGTACAGCCTCAGGATCTAAATGGTTTGAAAGGGCAGCTGGAAATGCTGCTCGAGCTGTCTGGAGGATGTCTACCTCTTAAATCGTGTTCCTGCGACGTAAATGGTTTGAAGGGGCAGCTGGAAAAGCTGCTCTAGCTGTTTAGAAGATGTCTGCCTCTTAATCATGTTCGTGCCGATTACTGGAAAATTTCGACATTCAACTTGTGAATCTTCTCAGGAAGATGGCAGACATAATGACTGCAGGGCAATGGCCATGCATAGAAAGTTTGTGTACCTGCAGAACTCGCGAGCCAGCCCAAGTGCTTCTCCATTAGCTCTTTCAAAAAAGGACGAGAAACAGAAGGGGGACTCAGGAAGAATAATTCGATCAGATGAGTTCTCAGATGATGAAAGGGTAGTTGTAGAAGAACATCTGTAAAATTTAGACACCCTTATAAAATGTCCCTATTTTGTATGAATGTTCTCTGGGCTGGACAAAAGTTGAACCTACAAACCAAGCATTTTCTTGTAATATTCTCCTATTGACTGGTTTGTAAATTCATCATTATCATCTTTTCACTTAGGCCATGTTTGGTATGAGTGAATGGAATCAAATGAAGTGGGAATGAAATGCTTTTGTTTCCATTCTTTAGTTTGGTAACTTACTTTAAAGTTAGAATGATGATTTTTGTCCATTCTCAGAGAATGGTGTTTTCCACTTATTCTTTCTACTTTCCAACTAAAGGAATGACCATATTATTCCCACTTTAAAAATAATAATAATAAATAAATGAATAAAAAAAAACATTTAATAAAATGTCGGCTACGTGTATATATATATATATACATATTTATATATGTTTTACAAAAATATAATGTTTTTCTGTGCAACCAAACATGGGAATATCATTCTCATTCCTTTCTCTGATTCATTTTTGTTCGCGCGGTTTTTGTTCCCTACACTGGTCGATGAACTCTTCGCGGGCGTGCCAGAGTATTTGTACAAAATACCCAAAATATGTAATTGAACACCAGCCTATCCCTTTTTCCGATGGCTGACTCTCAGGCGATTGTGTGGGAGAGAGACTAGTAAGAACTCCCAGCAAGGTTCTTTTATGCCTTGTTTGTAGCAAGGACTTTTTAGAGTGTCTAAAGAAATGCAACGGCTGATGAATGTTTGAATGGATGGAATGGCCGAGTGAAGACAGGCGGCAAGAACTTAATCGATCGCCGGCCGAACGTGATGGCGAGAACTTAATCAATCGCCATCAGCCAAACACAATGGCAAGAATTTAATCGATCGCCACTGAAACGTGATAGCAAGAATTTAATCAATTGCCATCAGCCAAGTAATGACAAGAATTCAATCAATTGTCACTACGATTCAATGGCAAGAATTTAATCAATTGCCATTGAATTGAAAGCCTAACTAAAATTGCGTAATTAAAATTGGCATAATTGAAATTGAAAGAAAGTAAATGGCTGAATCGAAATAGTTGACAATGATCTAATCAATTGCCATTAAATTGAAATAAAAAAATTGATAGGAAAATGACGTAGAGTCAATTGAAAACATTTTTAGTTGAAATGCATGTTTTGTGGTGGTGCTGGACGAATTGGAATAGGAATACAATACTTCTATTTATAGAAGTTCTATCTCAACTTATTTTCCTAATTACTTGCTAGAAAATCTCTTTGCTCCTTGATTTTCTTCACTTTATTACTCAAACTAAACCACGTTCCAGTAGTCTTTTGCGTCTCTTCTCTTCTTGCTTCAATAGGAAAGTCCTTGCTGAAATCTCTCCTTGATTCAGTCAAATGCAAGTTGTTGAGAAATATGCTGAAAAGTTGCTGGAAAGTTGCTAACTTTTAGCAACTCCTTTCCTTAAGTTAGGCTGAAACCTTCCCTTAAATGGCTGGAAGACCATTCATAACTTTTGCCCAAATTATCCCTCACGTGACGGCCTCTCCTTTGAATTCCTTATTCCTTTGCAACGAAATTCCTATTTCATAGGAATCTCATTCCAACTAAATCTCTTCTATCCAAACTGAAATAATATATTTGAATTAACTCAAATATTAATTACCAAATTTCAGCAACAACCTTATTGGATAAGGTGGCTAAATTCCAAGATTTTCTCCTCTTGTTTCTCAATTGGCCGACTTTTCTTGAAACCATACTAAACAAGTGTCGGCCCATCACTGGTCCACGTCACCACTGAGGTGGCTGCCAAGTTTTGGTGCCAACAATTTCATTCTCACTTTATTTCATTCAACCACACCAAACTAGCCCTTAGTATTTGTGGTATATGCATTAATCTTCCTCAATCTACGTGATTTTCTTGATGTGTTAATTCTTAAATCTGATGTTTTTAAGCATAATTGTTAAAGATACATATGAATTAGCTTAATGAATTTGCATAAATCACACTTTATCATTATTTTTCAAATGAAAGTGGATTCATGAGGGAACTGAACCCTTCGATGTCGATAATGATAAAGACAGGTTCTTACTGTTTTTTTGTTTTTTGTTTTTTGTTTTTTGTTTTTTTGTTTTTTTGTTTTTTTTTTCCCTCTTCTTTTCTTACTTCTTGGCTGTACAAAATAGATTGGTTCTAACAGATGATCAGTAATATGTTTATTTATTTATTTTACATTAGGCGGTATTACAAGAAACTAAGCGACCATAACTATGAGTATTACATGAAACTAGGCGACCATAACTATGAGTATCACTGGCCGGTCATGACTCAGAGTAACTCCAATTACTACTACTTCTCATTCGGTCTCATCGAGTTGGTTCGACTGATTCCAGTTTAGTTTATTTAGCTTGGAAAATATCCCTATGACAGTACGTAGTTATTTAGGTAGA